CCCGGCCCCCTAACCCCCCCTTGTGCCCCCTGCAGGACCCCAAAGCTCCCCCTAGGACTCACCCAGGACCCCTAACCCTCCCCTTAGACCCCTACAGGACCCCCAAACTGCCCCAAATCCCCCCCTAGGACCCACCCAGGACCCCTAAACCCCCCCTTAGACCCCTGTAGGACCCCAAAACTCCCCGAACTGCCCCCCAAAAAGACCCCCAAAGTGCCCCAGGTGCCCCCCCCGGGCCCACCAGGTGAGCAGGGAGCTGTCGGGGGGGGCCCTGCGCTCGCCCTGCGCCCCCATTTCCAGGCTGGCCAGGTCCATCCCCAGCAGCTCGGCGATCCTCTCCCGCCCGTAGATGTCCCCGTACTTCTCCATCACCTGGAGACCCCAAAATTCACAGGGGGGACCCCAAAATTCACGGGGGAGGGGGGTGTCCCAACATCGAGGGAAAAACCCTCAAAGTGTTGGGGGACGCCTCCGAAATGTGGGTAGGGGGTGGCAGCCCCAGGACCCCTCCTCACCTTCCTCTTGATGAACTTGTCCCAGTAATTGCTGGGGAAGGATCTGGGGGGGTCAGGGCAGAAAAGGGGGGGTCAGTGGGGGTGACGCCCCCTTCCCACAGCCCAGCTGGGGCAGGGGGACCCCAGGGGACACCAGTTGGTGCCACCAGACCCCCAGGGACCCCCAGCACCCCCCGAAACCTCTGTGAGACCCCCTGAAACCCCCAGACCTCCCTTCCAGCCCCTCCGGACCACACACACCGAGATTTGGGAACATACAGGGATTTGGGGACACACAGGGTTTGGGGACACCGACAGATTTCGGGACACACACAGAGATTTGGGGACACACAGGAATTTGGGGACACACACACACACAGGGATGTTTGGGGACACACAGGTTTGGTGACACACACACACACGGGGGTATGTGGTGACACAGGGGTTTGGTGACACACACAGAGATTTGGGGGCACACACACACACACATGGGTTTGGGGACACACAGGTGTTTGGGGACACACACACGCACAGGGATGTTTGGGGACACACAGAGGGCTCTGGGGACACACAGGTGTTTGGGGACACACACACGCACAGGGATGTTTGGGGACACACAGAGGGCTCTGGGGACACACAGGTGTTTGGGGACACACACACGCACAGGGATGTTTGGGGACACACAGAGGGCTCTGGGGACACACAGGTGTTTGGGGACACACACACGCACAGGGATGTTTGGGGACACACAGAGGGCTCTGGGGACACACAGGTGTTTGGGGACACACACACGCACAGGGATGTTTGGGGACACACAGAGGGCTCTGGGGACACACAGGTGTTTGGGGACACACACACGCACAGGGATGTTTGGGGACACACAGAGGGCTCTGGGGACACACAGGTGTTTGGGGACACACACACGCACAGGGATGTTTGGGGACACACAGAGGGCTCTGGGGACACACAGGTGTTTGGGGACACACACACGCACAGGGATGTTTGGGGACACACAGAGGGCTCTGGGGACACACAGGTGTTTGGGGACACACACACGCACAGGGATGTTTGGGGACACACAGAGGGCTCTGGGGACACACAGGTGTTTGGGGACACACACACGCACAGGGATGTTTGGGGACACACAGAGGGCTCTGGGGACACACAGGTGTTTGGGGACACACACACGCACAGGGATGTTTGGGGACACACAGAGGGCTCTGGGGACACACACAGGGGTGTGGGGACACACACAGATGTTCGGTGACACACACACAGGGCTCTGGGGACACACAGGTGTTTGGTGACACACACACAGGGGTGTTCGGTGACACAAACACGGGGCTTTGGGGACACACACACACACGGGTGCTTGGTGACACACAGGTGTTTGGTGACACACAGAGGGCTCTGGGGACACACAGGTGTTCGGTGACACACACACAGGGGTGTTTGGTGACACACACACAGGGGTGTTTGGGGACACACACACAGGGCTCTGGGGACACACGGGTGTTTGGTGACACACACACAGGGGTGTTTGGTGACACACACACAGGGGTGTTTGGTGACACACACACATGGGTTTGGTGACACACACACATGGCTCTGGGGACACACAGGGCTCTGGGGACACACAGG